TAAATCAGTGTATTTTAAGAGCATCAGTCAACTTGTGTAATTACTGATCCACCACTGATGACCACAGACATGCTGTCCACACCCTGCCCTGCCCAAAGCCTTGCTCAACCCATGTGTGGTGAGTGTGTGTGTGTCTGTGTGTTTGTTCTGCATTATTTTCTGCCTGAAGTAAGACACAAAGAATGACAGTAAAACAGAGAACAGCATGCTTTCCGTGATGTCAGTGAAACACTTCATCCTTGTTTGTTAATGCACACGACGTTTCGATTTTAAAATCCACTCACGCTCCAAAATCCATTTTTACCAGCATCTCTTAAATTGGTGAGTAACAGAGCGCTGTTATGATGTTTGCTGAAATCCTACCATAAAACTACAGCAGTCCACCGTTCTGAAGGCACTAAAAGCAGCTTTGAACTGAGTCGGTTTTGCAAAAGCATGGCTAACTTTGTTTTATGATTCCTTGTGCCTCCTGGTAATGCCATTAACGTAGCATAGATTAGCATTCAAACTGAACCTGCTGTCTCCTACAGGCGATATTAAAAGTACAGCTGGTGGATTTGACTTGAAAGCAGCATAATAATGTCGCTTTTCCTGAACAGACTCTTGACTTCTGACCTTCAGTCTGGAGTCACAGAGGTCAGCCCATCACGGCCGGTTTATTTGCTTGGCTCTCTAAACATCCGTTACAAATTACTGAGTGTGTGTGGACGTGCACATATGTATATGTCTGTTGCTGTTTGTGTGCATGGGTGTAGCACTGCTGTCATCACTGTCTTATCATAAATTACCCTCGGGGATAAACAATGGAGGCTTTGAGAAGGGTTAAACGGAGCGACTGGAAATGCACATAGTCCGTATCTGTAGAAATGAACCAACTGAAGCTGTAGGAGTGAATTAAAGGTAATAAACTGACATAACCAGTAATAAGCATTGTTTGATTCCATTCAAACCAAAGTGACACGCTGCAGCATCTCACTGATCTGTTTTGGAAAACATCTAATTGCACATCATTAGATGACAACAGTTATTCTCAAAATCATAGTCATAAACCGTCTCATCTCTGCAGGAAACCAAAATGACACCGTATCATTCTTTCCATGTTCTCAGCCAAAACTTATTTAAGTCGAAAATTTACAGCTTCTGTCCACACACGCCATAACACACTCTGTCTTGGTTTAGCTTTTATGCATTTGCTAATTAACACCAAACACAAAGTACATCTACAGCTGATGGGAACACATTCGTTCAACAAACATCATTGCGTGTAAAATTGTGACCACAACCGATCGGCAGCTTCAACAGAGGTGGCTAAAAACGTGGTATACATTTTTAGTTGGCTGTGATGACTGTTGGCGGCTCAGTCTACTGAGTTATGTGACTGTAGCTGTACCAGCGGTAGAACACTGGTCCTGAACTGCACAGTGTGGTGATGCTGTTTGATCAAACCTACAAAGTGTACAAAGCTTTAACCCTGTTTAGTCTCCAGTGAGATAGGCGTAAATAAATATGTAATAGTTACTCATTGTACTGACCCATGCACTCAGTGGATTCATGCTTTGGAGTCAGCTGTATATCCTCCAAAGGTCATCCTGGCAGACTTTGACGTTTCATTGTCCGTTAGTCACTGCAGCAACGTGCGATGTGTCTTGACAGACATAAAGGTCATTTCCTCATGAGTCAAGATTCTCTGTTATAAGCTTTCTGCAAATTCCAGTGAAGGACTGCGTATACTCAGGACCAGGTGTCGGCGTTGATTAGTCGTCTAACACACAGGAGGAAGGTTGAGGAAGCAGATGAGAAACCAATGAGAAAAGAACATAAAGAAACAAGACATTGGAGGATTTTATCCACGTAGTAATTTGCAAACATCTTCTGATTCACACTCGGACACAACATCAGTGGTGTTTGCTGGACTGACTGGATGTTGATCAGAGCCCAGCTTGTGTCCAGGTGGCCTTCCTCTGCCCGGCTGTTCCTTGTCTTCAGCCGGAACCATCCGTGGTTCATGATGGTTCTCCACCTGCCTGCTCTGGCTACACCCAGGCTTCAGTAGGCCTTCCTTACCAAGTGACTTGCAAACCGTCGACTGCCCACCTCCACTGGCGTACACCTGGTCCTCCACCAGCTCTTCTGCCCTTTTGCTCTCATGTGCCTCCTCCACCCTCTCCTCCACAGGCACAATGAGCTCCAACACAATCAGCTGTCTTGTTGCCTCAGAGGTCTCAATGAGGACTTGATGATGTGTGATGGGATTTTCCGCTGCTCTCTACAGATCAACTGTCTTCAGCCCATCTCCGGCCGTAGCAGCAGATCAGCAGAGCAGTTTTTAGGTCTTTTCTTTGGCTTCTGTCCCTTCATGACAAACCTGATGGTCTTGGCTCCAGCATGTGTGGCTGCTGTCTGTGATGCTGATTGCCTCAGTGATAGACCTGATCGAGGACCAGGCCATGTCTCCAGCCCTATACGTGTACATATATATACAGCCATACGTTTTTTAGCTTCCTAGATGAACTACTGTGTTTATGAGGCTGACGCAGTCCAAACTAAGTTAAGCTGCCAGAGTCTTCACTGGTTTGAAGAATAACCAGCATATCACCCCAGTTCTGGCTCATCTGTACTGGTTCCCAGTAAAATACAGAAATGAGTTTAAAATGTGACCATTAGTTTATAAAGCCCTTCATGGTTTAGCTCCACAGTGCATCACCAAAGTGTTAGCTCAGTTTCTGTCTCTGGGCCGCTGAAGTCATCCTCACAGGTCAACCTCTCAGTCCTCCTTCATGCCTTAAAGCTAAAGGCACCAGGGCTGATTTGGGTTTTTTCAGTTTTCATACCCAGGGTCTGGATCAGTCTCCAGTTCCACATGAAATCCTGTCCCTCTATCAGAAGTAAGGCCATTGCTTGTAAGTCTTTCTGAAACTCCAGTCCTCTGTCCTCTCCCAGTGTCTCTGTATCACCCTGTTGTCTGTACTGATCGGTTTTCACTTAGCTTTCTCTTCCATGCTTTGCCATTAAAGTTCTGCTTCTTTTTGTCAATCTAGCCGGTATACTTTAAGTTTCCATTCATATAAATATCTTCACATGTGATAATTCTGTCATTTCCTCTGTGCATTTCTATTTGCTTTTGCATGTTTTAACTCTGTGTCCTCTCTCTCCCTGGATGTCTCTGCAGGGACTCCGGAGCTGAACAAGTCCGATCTGCAGTCGATCTGTCCAGCGTTTATGTTGTCTTGTTTGTTTGTCTCTGCTTTCCTGTTCTCTGCCCCTCACCCTCAGCGGTGGAGGCAGACGGTGACCCTCCCAGAGCCTGGTGCTGCTGGAGGACTCTTCTGTAGTGGTGGAGTGTTTCTCCTCCACTGCTGGTAATGTGCCTACTCATGAAGAATGCTTGGATTTGTTGGGTTTTCCATGAATAGTTTAGTAGTGTCTTCACTTTAGAGTTTAATTAGTGGGTTATTCCCCATAATTAAGCCTTAATATTTAATTTAGTCAGGTTGCTTTTAACCATAATAATTAAATTACCCTGGTACAGTCACATCATAAATACTCCCTCAGGGTGGTAACTTTCATATTTTAACTTGTTGGGTAAATGTGTGACACCAGTCGTTCTTCTCTAATGAATGGGCTCAACAGTTGTTGTTTTAAATGTGCTGTTATCAATATGGGTGACTTCTCTTGGCTTGATATGCATTCGGGTCACCTGATTCTTGTCACACTCTTATTTACTTTTTTACAATGTTTACTGCAGAGATAAACAGTTACATCACATTAATTAGCTTATTGTTTTAAAATGTACAGAAGTGGTGCTTATCTGTGGACAGCTCCCCTCTGAAGCCTCTCATGAAATAATGACCCTCACCATGAATCACAGTCTGAAGTCTCCTGAAGAGTGTATGACTGTGATCACTGATGTGGTCTTACACACACACACACACACACACACACACACACAGTCACAATGGCAGATGAGCAGTGTTTTATAAGACATACCCAATGTGGTGAACTTCTGACCCTTTAAGTGGACACATGCGGCCGTCTGAATGCAGCGCTCTCAGCTTTGCTTCTCTAAATATTGTATTCCAGCATCATGCAGAATCACCCTGTTAATCATTTCAGTCATATTTCTGTCCAATAAATACTCATTGATCACTGTCTCACTCCCCGGGAAGGATCTGTGTGTGTCTGTGCGAGAGTATGAAGAGGAATATTTCAGTGAAATTCTGAAGAATGGCGTAAGCACTACTTGATCTAGAATGTACACACACACACACACACACACACATGCAGTGGTATAATGAGAAAAAGGTGCAAGCAGCACAATGGCTTTCAATGCTGCCAGACCACTGGTCCGCATCTCATAGCGCTCCCCTCCCCCAGCGTTCCCCCTCTTTTAGTTCCACATCTGTTTCCCAAACTTGGGAAGGGGCCTTGGAGAGAGCCATATCTGGGTCAGAGTAAACTCTCTTTCTGGGCGCATGAATGTGTGCACAACACACCGCAATCATGGACGGCCTGAAAACGGTCTTCCAGCCTTTGAACCTGAAGATGTGCAGTGTCCCAGCAGGGGTTGTGCTACAGAGGGTGTGTACGCTTAACCCCTGGTTGCTCACCACTGTTACAATGAATGTGTTCATAAAAAGCCAGGAGAGGATATTTCATTTCCTATGGATAGCTTCCTACTGATCCTGCATTCTTACATTTTTCTTTTTCATCCTTTTGGGAAACAAAGTTGGTTTCAAGCGGTGCTCCTTTAACACTGAAACATCTGAATAGTTTCATTTATTAATAATCCACATTATTGTTTGAAGAGAACATGCTTTCTTTCTTTTTATTTTTCAGTAGAAATAACTTCAGTTTCATTCTGTTAAACTTGAGTTTAATGAGGTGAAAGAGTTTCACCCATGTGGGAAACAGCAGTTTAGGTGACTTATTTCTAACGCTGACTATATGCTGCCACCTTCTGGACCAAAGTGCCAACACACTGTCAACTGGAGCCAAACACATAATCAGGAGATATATTTAATAGTTACAACACGAGCAGGAAATAACCCAGAAAACATTAATCAATATGAGCAACAAATGTTTTAAAGATAGGAACTACATTTATATGTAATGTGCAGTATTTATTACCCATGCCCTGCAGACGGCTGCTTAGTTTAAACCGATGTTTCTGCACACGGACCACCTCCTGCTGAGTAACAGTTTACTAGTGCAACAGAAATGCTGTCAGAGTGAGAGTTCAACTTTTAAAGGATAATGAATAAATGAAGAACATGCATACGGTGTTATAGAGTCTATGGAGATCTAGTCAGAAGGACGAACACTGACTGGCTGCAGTCATGTGAATGCTGGGATGTTGTAATGTGACTGTGTGCAGAGTTCATTTGTACAAAGCTGGTCCACATTTTAAACATGTTCTTTGCCTTCTTTTCTCTCCGTTACTGCCTCTCAGCCGTCTCTCTTGGGGTATTTTTCTCTGGCCAGTCTGACAAAGTCCTCGGCGCTGTCCAGGGACACCAGGCGGTCCTGAGAGAAACACGGAGGAAGACGATGAGGAGCATCAACACAATGAAACAGGTGACATTGATCCGCTGGATGAACACAGGATGGGGAGAGCAGTTGAAAGACAAGAGCGCAGCAGGGAGGAATTCTAGCTCTGGACGACCCAGAGTGCAGAGCAGCAGTCAGGCAGCCTCATGAGACTCATCAAGAGAACGTTGTGGGAAACGAGCTGCATGTTGGTATAATGAGAGATGTGCATACACACCATTACAAAGAGGTATCTGTTGTGAAACCCTGTTCCGGGGGGGAACAGAGAGGTGTGGTCCAGCAGCTGTTTCAACAGTCCGGTCGCCCTGTCGAGATGTTCTCGATCTCGGCTGAACAGGCTCTGTCTGTTCACACTCAGCAAGGCGTCCACCTCACACTGGTAACCTGCAGGGAGACACCGAGATGAGCCGTGGAGGGAACCGGGGAGATAGATGGAGGAGTTAGCTGAGCGACAGGAGGAGGCCATCTGAGAAGAGTGTACTGATGGGAAAACTACAACAGAAGGCCATTTTCCACTGAATCATGTTGACACATCTCATAAAGAAAAGTGAACGTGTGAATTAAAGAATGAATAATGGCTGAATTCGGTTTCAGAGCGCTAGTATTGTCCATGCACACCTACTGGGACACTGGACTAGAACAGGTGATCCTTGGTGCTATTACAGACCTCTGTGCTTTCCTCAGAACAAGTTTTAGACTGAATGGAACAAAAATGGACCGAAGGTGACAGGAATGGAAGAGCCTCACCGAGCTGCAGCAGGATTTTCTTCCACCGAGACCTGACTTCTCGCCTGGCGTAGCGCAGGGTGTGTATGTCATAGTTCAGCTTCTCCCATTCCTGTAGGCAAACACATGAACATGTGGGTATAAATAAAGCTCATACAATAGGACTTTTGAACTTCAGTGGATACAGAAGGCTGGCTGTGAATTTCAAACAACAACGTCCCAGCGTGGTTGGCAGCTCTCTGGGACTCACACACTGAGAAACCTCCATGCTGTCACCACGTATAGCAAACATTTACTGTGTTCATAATGTTAGTGTGAAAGGAAGCATCACAGGGGTTCTGTAGGTGTTCTGTCGTCAGTCGGGCTGAACCATGTGGGGAAACAGCTGATTCCTGTTGCTCTGACAGATATTGTGGTTGTGATTTATTTTAACTTTATAAGAGATTTTAAAACATGCGATGGAGTTTTAGCACATGACGCCCCATCAGAAGTGTCACACAAGGAAGACCCCATGAATCTGTCAAACCACTGATGTGACGGTTTAAACGCTGGGTCATGAGACTGGGCTTCTGTGAGTCGAGCCACAGCCTGAACAATGTCATATACACAGAACAGATGAGCAGCACAAACAGCCCCCGACAGCATGGATTTGTTCAAATTAAACCAAATCAAATTACATTGGTCTTCTTATTTAATAACCACAGTTTTGCTTACACAAACTGCAGCCATTAAATAATAAGACTTGTTATATGTGATCTGCAGTGTTTTAACTTGACACTGATTTGAAGTCAGTGACTTGTTCAGCCCTACGTCAGCACTGTACACATTAATACTCTATGCTGGATGAAAAACGATGCCTTCTCCTCTGTAATCACAGTTGGTCCTCAGGGGGACATGAATGTGGGAGCCAGTCCGCATGAAAATCCACCTGAGAGCTGTTGAGATGTTTTACTAGAACAAGACCTCTCGTCGTACCAAACAAACGTCCCACCATCACTGTCATTAGTATTTATCTTCTGGGGACCACGAGTGACTTCAGGGCTGTTTCTACAAACACATGCTCAGTCTGGATTCAGGGAAGCCCAGTCACTGGACACGGTCAGTCCTGGAGCTCTTGCACAGCTAAAAGGTTCACAAGGTTAAAGACATGAGGCTCCACTGCATGTAATGTGCACATCAGTCAAACCTCCTCATATGGTTTCCTGCTGTCGTTGCACACAGGCCTGCTTAGATCTTCCTGACATGAACATCACCGGGTTGGTTTTGCTCCGTTTTGACCATTTTCTCTTGTTGTGTTTCACCTGTGAGTCAGGACTGGACCTTTTCACTGAAGTCATGGTTTCTGTCTCAGTAGGACAGGGACGGTTATACAGGACAAAGTGAGTGTGTTTCTGTGTGCTTTGGTTCATGCTGACTCAGTCACGCCATCGCGGCTCGCTGGTACGCGTGAACAGAACAGACTCATTGTTATCGTTATTAGAAACAGCTTCTCTTGTGATGACAACATAAAATGCAGTTAAAATGCTCACGCTTTATGTCTGTAACTGATTTCTTTGTGACAAGATAAATCATTTTCCCTGCAGCTGTGAACTGTTCAGAGCACAGAGTCTACAGATCCGTACGTCCTACTTTATTTACTCCTCCTTTTTTCCCTTCAGTGCCTAATTGCTGTTTAATGTCGACCCATTGTCAGTTAGTTTGGCCCGATATTAAACACAGTGTCGGGACATGCTGCGGACGGTCCAGTGACTGAGCAGCCGGGCTGTTTGGACCACATCTCCATGATGGAATTCACTTATCAACACAATGTGCCCGCTGTGTGCTGCCGCCTGCTATTCTCAACGTGAACACCGTCACATGTTCACCAGGCTCTCGCTCAGAGACTGACATGGCAGGTCGTCTGGGTTTTACTCAGCTGCCATTCCCTCTGCACAGGAACGGAGCGAGACTCTAAAGCAGCAGCGAAATGAAAAGAAACCAAACACCGTGAGAGACTCTCATATGAACACACATACAGGAGATGCAGTCGTCCAGAAAAGTGATGCCTTCAAGTTCCAACAAACTCCACCCCCCTCCTCCACCACACTGTCCACACACACACTGGTGTGTTTAGAGGTCGTACTGACGGATAAACGAGTGTGTGTGAGAAGCATTCGGTGGCTGATTGGGGTAAGTGAATAAAGCAGCTGTGTGTGTTCAGTCACTTACATGTGATGAGGAGCTTTTTATAGACAGCTGCATTCTTCTTCATTCTGTGACAGAGTTGGACACTTTGCTTCTTTATACCGAATGAGAAACTCAGTATTCCTGGTCTATTCTCAGTGATGCTACCAAACAACATTGTGCATGTGTGGCGCTCTTTGAATCTGGCTTTGGACATAAATATGTAACCAGAGGAACAAACTTCTGCATCACTTTCATTCAGGTGGAGTTCATTTAGGAGTCAGAGGCTTCTCTGTGTGTTCTCTGTCCTGATCAGCTTATTGCATTAGAGAGCTCCAGAGGACCAGACAGCAAACTGAATTACTGGAGCAGCAGCACTTTGTGACACAAAAATGTTCTAAAAGCCTCGAACTCTGGAGAGACGTGGTACATTTTGGTGCAGATGTGAATATTACAATTTGCCAGATTCCTCATAACTGATGAACTGAAGCTGTATGGCTTCACTAAGCTGACTGACTACAGAATTGTACTGCAGCTTATGTGTCATTCTTCTAAACCTAAATGTGCAGAGAAACAGACAAACTGCTGCCTTGGATGATGGCAGCCTTGTATGTGATCGTTTTAGCTACATTTATTTTTATATTTAGGGATGTTTCAGTGTTAAAGCATCTATGAATGTCAGATTTTTGCCATTTTTCTAATCATGCAAACGTACTAGAGCTGATTTGTTGATTTTTCCAACGTGTATTAACACATTTCTTCCCTTTTCCTTTGTGTCTCGTGCACAGCAGCTTGTTTTCTACCTCTGTAGCCTTATCAGCCTGGTCTCTCATGCTGATAAAAGCCTCTAACTGTCTGTCCGATCCTCGCTGGATGAGAGAGTCATCCAGTCTGTCGGATGTGGCCCACTGGTCTGCGCTGCTCCTCTGGATTCCCTGATTCTCCCACGGGCTCGTTCCTGAAGGCGGCGGTCCAAAAAGGCTTTCCTCTTCTGTGTCACTGCTGCTGGAGCTGCTTGACGGCTGCTCAGGTGGTCTGGAGGCTGTGGTGGTTCGCATTCTGGAGAAGAGACAGAACAGAGGAAGGAAGTTCAGCTTGGTTGTAGGATATAAAAAAAAAAAAAAAAACGATGTTTAAGCAGCAGAACTTTTGTGTTAGTCTCACCGCAAAATAGCTTTCTTCTCGTCCCTGTTGTGTTTCAGGTAGTAGCGACGGCAGCAGATGGTGAAAGAAGCACCCATTGGCCTGCGATGGATATCTGCCCTTCCAGAAAAATCCCCAAATAGGCACAACTCCTGTCACAGATCTGTTAATGACTCCTAAAGAAAACTGAATAGATCCAAGCTGGGAAAAGTCCAAGAGTACAAATCCAGGCAACATCCGAACTTGTTCTTCCCACAACCCCGGCCTGAATAAGAACCTATCCTGGCCTGGATAGGAGCTGTCTGTCAATTGCATTATTCACGTGAAAAGAAACAGGAGACAACAACAACAACACACACACACACTCACACACACACACACACACACACACACACTCACACACACACTCACAGGACAGTCCAGGGATGAATGGCACGTCTATTCAGAGGCTCCTGATGGTGCAGAATGCAGCAGCAGAGACATAACTTTCTGCAAAGCCTGCTGCCTGCAGCTCAGATCTGGATTTCTACTCTCTTTACTGCCTGCTTTGAAAATGAAAGTGTTACTATGGCTTTGTCAGACGTACGTTCTCGTGGCTGCAGGAGAGGAAGAAATAATAATGTTGGGGTAAATAAGCAGGCTGCTATGCATATACACAGGTGTTATATAACTTCACTGACACTTCATAAAAGTCAATGTTTAACTGATTTACAATTGCCTCATTCATATTCCCCAACAGATGGCCTGTAACAACAGATAGAAGCTCTCTTTTGTCAACATGACGGCATGTTTGCGGTGAGATCCGAGGTCTCTGGAGGTGGCTGACTGCAGTGTTTGTGCTGCAGGAGCAAGAACAGGGTGAAGGGCAGTGACACCAGTAACACTGGCTTCAAGACTTCTTACGGGTGAGTTGAGTTTCTGTTATTATTCTTCTATTAAAGTTTGTGGTCAGTGTTCTGCAAATCTATGTTTGTCTTGTTTAGTTTTTCATTCATAGACTTTTATGAAACAAAAATTACACCCTGACTGTCTGGTAAAGGACGTTTCTTGTTTTGCATTTGAGATGTGAGTTGTCTTTTATGTCACAGTAACAGTCGGCATGATAACATGTTAGTGGTTCCACAGGAGCTGCTGCTGGTCTCTGCAACTAGCTGGACAAAACATTTGTATATATTGGTAACAGCATTAGCCAGAAAGATTTCGTGAAATGTGTGCTGAAGTAAAGCTGTCTACACCTCCATCAGTGCTGTCAAAGCTAGAAATTAAAAATACATTTAAAGTAAAGCATTTTAATTAATTACATTATTTTTGTCGTCACAGTTTAGGGGTTGGACTCACCATGGAATTATAACTAGACCAAACATCACCCCATGGATGAGCGATGAGTTGAACTTTCTCCATTTTTATCTTAATTTTCAGGTCACGCTCTGTCTGTGCTGCAAAGTGGTCAAATATCATAAAACAAATAAATGTCACTGCATGACCAGACGGTTTCTAATGAATACATCTTTTGTATTGTCTCACACCTCTGCGCTGTGATCTTTGTAGATTACAGATGGACCTTGAGCCAAGAAAAATGTTATTTATATTATCAAAACTAATGCTTAGTGAACTGAATCACAGACATACAGGTAGATGGAGGATGTAAACCCAGAGCTGGTCACCTCAGCTGTCTGTGGACTCACCTGTGGAAGAAGAAACAGTGACATCTAGTGGCCTGTGCCAGCCTCTACATGGGAAATGAGCAGTTCAAAGTTTGTGTTGAACTCTTGACAGAGGCACAGTAGCAGACACGCTGAAGACCTACTAGGACTACTTCCTCTCACGATCTATGAGTGAGCTATCCATGCATCTGGTCTGGCAACGAAAACATGACCACTCGACTCAGAATGTCGTCCAAATGCACAGAAGCGTTGAAGATCGTAAACCTGATGTTTACTCAGAGATTGTCCAACAGCTGGGTTAGCATGAGTACAAAAAACTCCTGTTTTTACAAGGAGAGTCTGAAGCAGTTCATCAGAAAGTTTGCTGCCAAAGAGCACTTTTGTTTATTGTCCTGTTTTGTTTTTTTTTAATGAGGAACTCCTGCTTGAGCAGAATCCAACAGGATCAGGTGATTTGTACACTAAACTTCCCACTGATGGAAATGCCAGAGTGATGTAGGGCGGCCATGCCTGCCGTTGGGACGGGCAGTATCTCCAACCATATCTGCAACTCAGCTCGACTGTGTGTAATTCTGTGTGGTAATTAAACTGAGATTTACCAGCTCTATTGGCAGTGTGGTTAAAATGCAGCACGTCGCTCCTTTAAATCTGTTCTTCACCCGACTTCTGATCTGTTCTGCACAGTTAGGACTAAATAACACTGCAGGCAGAGAGGAGAAGGTCACATGGATGGACTGTGGTGTCGACAGTGGGTTGTCACTGAGGTCTGTCAGCGGTTTGTCACTGAGGTCTGTAAGCTCAGGAGCTATTATGATTATATATTTATGCCAAAACTACATGTGAGTGTGTGAAGTCCCTCCTTCTGGTCAGATCCTGAACTCATATAAAATCAGTCAGAAGCTGGAGGAGATGCTGCAGAACATCTACATCTACGTGATCAGTGTGGATGGATATATGCTCACCTGGACCAACGGCAGCGTGAGTCCTTCTCAGGATTTATTAGCGGATAACCAGGAACACACTGACATGTGTGTGTGTGTGTGTGTGTGTGTGTGTGTGTGTGTAGGTGTCTATCTGTGTGTGTTATTCCCACGTAGACCTGTTTGTGGAGGAAGACTCGTTCCCGGCCTCCTGCTAGCAGGACCTGTATGGTGTTGACCTCAACAGATATTTTACATCAGCTCTAATATAACACTAAGACTAATTAGCCTTCATGTACCTTAAAGCAATAAGTGACACGAGAACCCTGCTCATCATCTGTCAGTATCACCAGGTGTAATGTCACATCCTGTCCAACAGTCAAAGGCTCGAAGGGTTTAAACTCTTCTGACTTTAACAACTAAGTTCAGTTTATACGGCGCCTCTCAGGCATCCCGACACCGACAGAGTTGGTTTTTACAAGCTTCATAAAATCAGCTACAGTCTATTATTGAACTGCGTTTGTGTGTCGATTAACTTTGTTGTTGTTTTTCCTCCAGCGACTGTGTGTCAGTGACGGCTGTGAGAACACCTACTGATGGGGAATCACCAGGATCAGAGCCAGAGGCAGTGATGGGCTGAGCTGGTAACTACCNAATTGACGTCATATTAACCTCCCAAAGAGTAGATACTGAGCAAGATAGTTATCTGTAGTTCACCGTCGTACTCCCAAGCACCGACCCAGTGCAGGACTCCGCTGTGAAGGTGGAGACACGCGGCGGTGGTGTGTTTGTGACGATAAAAAATAATTAAAAAAAAAAAAAGATATTTGAAGGAGTGGCGGCTAGGATTTAGGAATGGTGGCCCGCCGCTCCTAAATGAATGTAGAGGAAACACTATAGCCAATATCGCACTAATCCACTGGAGGAACACACACAGCTCTGATCTGTGCATGGACTTTTCCACACACATGGAAGCTTGGTTTTCCTGCGTGTGTGTGTCTCGTTAACAGACTGCTGTATCATACCTCTTTAATTTTTAATGTTTCTTGTCAACAGGTGGCTCTTTGTCCAGCACTAGCATACTCTTGGGAGAAACTAGTCTATAAGGTAGTTTGGACATAAAGTGATGTATTCTTGATGGATTGTTGCTTCATAGATCTACATGATGATTTATGGCACCACCAGACTGTAGAATAAATATGTGTGTGTAGACATGTTTCTGATGTCTGCTGTGCATCTCTGACCATATAAACAATGACTAAAGTCAATAGCTGCTCCAATCACACTGACCGCTCGTGAAGGCCGGAGGTGACTGACAAGTTGTGTACACACACACACACACACACACACACA